GTAATTTTTCCGATATAATCCGATATAATCCGACGTAATCCGACAGTTGGATCGAATCACCTGGGATAAGTTGCAAATGCTTTTCTTATCTCTATCAGCGTTATACATTACAAAATACGAGTTCGAAATGAGAAACACTAACTTTGTTTCATCAAGATGACATCAAAAAAATTGGCTTACTCCATATTTTTAATTTTCTGGTACGAATTCTGTAAAAAATTGTTGAGCCTACCCTAGATCCAAAACATTTCGCCACATATGAACATGGCCATATTTTTCTGACAACTGAATTTGTTTCAATAGGTCTGAATTATTTAACCCTTTCAGGACGGGTGGTATACCGTATATATCAGAGCCTTTTTTGAATAGTGAAATATATTATGCATTGACGATTGGAAATAGTTGTGTATACGCTAGAGTATGTTCATTGTAGTACTATACATATAATATGACTTGCGCGATCATGCTCCATTTTCTTCCTTTTCTAGCCTGCATTGAAATTTTGTCTTTCTATTTTGTTTTTCAAAAAAAAATAATCCCGTCCTGAAAGGGTTAAATGATAATTATAGAACTTTGTACAACTGAGATGATTATTCATTTAGTTCCTAATTATGCACCAATAAGATTGCACTTCAAATCGTTTCTATTATCAGCCCACAAAAATTTCATGTGGCTGCATTAATACGTTGAATTCATAATTTCTAAATTCTTAATATGTCTCATCATAAAAAATAACTCACATACATGTTCAACTTTTATCACTGATTAAAATATTGAAAACAGCGAAAAAGAATTTTGTTTTTCAATTCTCAGAATACATTATGTTTTGTATCTTTTGAAAAGACATTAGCCTTTTACTGTTCCTAAAAAGAGAATGTCACAAAAACTCTTTTTCTTACTCCTTTTCTATTTTAGATCTTCTCGGTTGGATCCCCATGTCGCTCATTTTTTATGAATCTCACCGGGATCTCGCGGGATTAAGGGTAGATGTGGATGTGGGTGTGAGTGTGAGTGTTGATCTTTTTACCGACACCCACACTCCACACCCACACCCTCATATTGAACACTGAAATAGTTTAGATTTATTT